AGCTCAGTAGTGCGTCTACACCTGTTGGCGAACATGAACAGCTTCCAGAAAGTGTCTAGAGAGAGCTCAGTGTCGATGCTCGCCTTACAGTGAGCGAGTGTGCTGGGGACCGGGCTGCTGTGTACGAGGCCTGCTGTAAAAAGGGTCAGGCAGTTGGGGGCGTTGGGTGTTTTGATGTTTGTTTACAAGTTTTCTCTCAAGGCTTTCGTAAGGGCTGAGCTGCACTAGTATAGGGCCCTAAATAATTACCTATACTATTTTGGGGGCTCCTTATTAAAAAGAAGTATACCCCCCAAACCCTGTTCCAATTATTAAGGCCCCTACATTACAAGGGTTTGCAGGGACTAGGGGTTCAGGGCATTAGAGTTTGATGCCAGCACGAGTTGACGTTGTTGGTGTGGCGGTTGGCATGTGGCCCTCGGCGGTTTCTGGCTGCTTCTGGTGAGTTTATACTGGGTCTCGCTAGTTCTTGAATGGGAGTTTTCCGAAGGTTTAAACTATTTTGTTTGTGCGGCTTCCAGAGAAATCTCGATGGGAGCATTTTGGCTTCGAGCGGTCATGTTCAGACGTTGAGATGCGTTTTGCTTCCTAGTTCAGGGCCTAGGGTTGAGGGCACCTAGGTTCTGGGGTGATCCCAAGACTCTGGGCTAAAGGCCAAAAACTTAGTTTTCACCATAAGTCCTTCAGGGTGACAATGAGCCCTGAGGTTTTCAGGGGGACCGTGAGTGATCTCTTGTCATCGGTTTCCATGCCGAACAAATGCAACGACCCCCATTTTCTGGAGTTGAAAGTCGTCGTTCTTCCTGGCAGATAAGATCTGTAGAGGTACATAGGGTTTAGGGATTAGGGTCTAATGGATCTTGCAATCGTCGGACACCGCAGCCGGTCCTTTGCACATATTGCGGTTTCTGACGTCGACAGGAGCAGACCATAGCGGCTAACTCCCAAGCCCTAGGAGGTAGAAGCCCACCCTTTGAACGCCTGATGCTGCTGGTGGTGATTCCCGCTTGTTGTCCGTCCATGTCTTCGTTTAACTGTTTGGAGCATCGAAGAGAGCTCTTGGGAAAATGGAATGCCGCTGTGATACTTCTGAGTTGTCAACACTAGCCGTCACTAACCATTAGCATTGCTCCGGCGCGCTCCTGGTGCCGTAGAGCATCGTATTGCCCTTCAGCAATCAGCCGTGCACCTTCGGGCAGCCAGCGCACGATCCACAACCCGAGGCCCTAAACCCTATCCAACTAACTCGGGATCCTACAGCCAGGGTCTACAAACCCTACAAGCCCGATAACCCTAAACCGTAAACCCTAAACCCTAAACCCTAAGCCGCAAACCCTAGCACCTTCAAAACCAAAAGGCCTACGGAGGCAAGAGCCTTGCGAGCTGCAAGCGTGCAGCCTGCCGAGAAGTAGAAGCGGTGTAGGCTTCATTCCCTTGAGGTTTGTCGCGGTTCGAGCGCTTCGGGTTGCGATTTCAATTTTGCATAGGTGGTAGAAGATTTAGCACTATAAACTCAGAGGCAAGCCCGCAAGATGTCCTTGCCGCTCACTGCCTACTTCCCACCCTAAACCCACACCTCCAAATCCTGCGATGCCAAGCCCCGAAATCTCGAAGTCCTTCACAAAGTCGGGATGGGGGATATTCTGAGGTTGAGGTCCTTGTTGTCAGGATCCTTCTACACTAATCTTTTTTGGGGGGTTCATATTGGGGCTCACAGGTTTCTGAAAGTCGCATAGCCGAGGAAGACAGGAGGGGTTAGAGGCTCTCCACGTCATTTAATCGGCTCAGGGCCTAGAGTTTTTGCACATTAAACATGGTATGCTCATGTTCACCGTCTTTACCACGGTACTGTAGCAACTGTCATCATACATTTGTCCTCCCCTTCCTCCGCCTCCTCCCCCTCCACCCCCTCCTCATCCTCCTCCTCCTGCAATGTCAGACTTTGACCGCTGCGCGCCTCATAGCGAGATTTTCGATGGTAGCTGGATCAACACGGTCGCCACGCATCATTGCGAGGTCTTCCTTCACTCCTTCCGGCTGCATTTAGCAAGTCGTGGGGAAGGAGGCTCCGACGGGGAACTGAGGGGAGCAAAGCTGAATTCCGGCGATTGCTGGTGGATAAACAGCAACCACTCTTCAAGTTGTTTCAAGCCCTGTTACAACCTTGAGCCGTCAAGCCGCAACCACTCACGATCGTCCAACACCACTCACGACCACCCACCACCACCCACCAACGTCCACCCCACCCGCCCCACGACCACCCATCACCACCCACCACTAGCCACCAGCATTACTCACTGCGGGCACTTGATCAAATAAAACCCGAATACTAACCTACAAAAGCTTTCTTGGAACAGATGCCGCCGGCTGGGTAGCTGCTGCTTTCTCTCCATTGCCCGAAGATTTGCAACAGGTAGGGCTCTCAGCTGCTGTTCACCAAGATATGGGGCTTGAATCACCCCTAAGCCTACACCCGAGTGACACTAGTGTTTCGGTTTTCGTGACGAGCTCCGATCCCCCAAAGTAGTTCTAGCGAAAGCACGAGTCTAACAGGCTGGCAAGAGCATGGGCGCTAATCCCTTGCTAATAATTTAACCTTATTCGGGTATTATAGCTCGTGTATAATCCCACATATATAATCCCAAAAGTAGCCTTTAGTTCTTCTAGGATACTGGACAACTAAGTTGGATGACACAACTTCAGCCTGCAGGCTTTCAATCGGGTTGCAAACTTTCCAGGGCTTGGGACCGGGGGTCGCAGAGACGGCAACTTGAAGTGCCCCTGAACCCCTAAACCCTAAACCCCTAAACCCCTAAACCCTAAGCCCCTAAACCCTAAACCCTAAACCCCTAAACCCCTAAACCTTAAACCCTCAGTTCATGACCTGCGGTCCCTCGGTGGATTTGTGCAGACGTCTTTGCGCCTTTCAGTCCTGGGTTTAGGGTTGGACAACTGTGTGCAATTTGGGAAAGCATCCCTTAAGCCAAGTGGGTAGCCGGGGTCCGAGGCTCTTGCGCCGTTGAGCTGTGAAACTGCCGACTGCGCGGCCACCCTGTGCACGTGGCTAAAGACAGCATCCGAGGCAAAAAACGTGCAGATGTCGGATTGTGTTTTTTTTGTCAGGGCTTTGGGAGTTAAACCTCGCTTCCGTGAGACCTCTAATGAGATCTTTTCAGCCGAGCTTCATGTCTCTACACCTGCACCTCTGCGACTGTGGCAACGGATAGTCTTTCTCATCCTCAAAGGCACCGTATCAATATTGTAGATTTTCGGGGCCTAGAATATGACACCATACCTCAAGAACCCAAAACCTACTTTTTTGTAGGGTCCCAAAAAATCCCATAATAGGGTTTATAATAAGAACCTACAAAAAAGTGGGTTTGGGGTTCTTAAGGTAAGCACCCTGGTCAGGCTATGGATTGATGGCTTGACCCGCCCGGCATCTTGACCGGGGGCCCTAAACCCCGGAACTCGGTTTTTCCCTAAACCCCGGAACCCTGAAGCCCTTTTCACTAGCACGGCGCGCAGAAATCAGAAGTGTACCCGAAAGAACCCTTAACCCTAGAACCCAAAACCCTAAGCAAGGCCTTGGGAGAGAGTGAGAGTCGAAAGCTTCTTGTTCTTCCACGGCTCTGGGACCCTCGATCTTATGGGTTGACCTGGGCGTAATGAAGCTGATCTTTCGGATTAAGGGGGATTTAGGGCTTTAGGGATCTATAGCTACATGACTAGAGTTGGGCTTGGGGGTAGAGTACATTATAATCAATGCCTAGTCAAGTATGTCTGGTGTCTGTATAAGGAATAACCCCCTGTCGAGCCTTGATAATTGCAATATGGCTTTGGGGTATGGTATGGTTCGAGCAGAAGCGGACTATGGCTGAAGTGTGTCATGTGATATCTCTTGTAGCTTCGCATCGCTCCGATGCCTCAAAAATGTGAAACTCCCTCCGCAGCCGTGAGCGCATCGAAGAGAGCAGTAGGTCGTTCAGTGGAAAGGCCCCGCGCACCATGGGTTTCAACATCTATGACGAGCTGCCGGAGGCTACGTCACCGTCCAGGTACCATGGCACGTCCAAGTACCATGGCACCGACAAGCAGGTCCTGGCCGAAATTTTTCTGCAACATGCAATAGGTGGAGTCTTACCAGTGACTCCCTGGTATGCTGCAAGCAAGTCCTTAGCGCGCGAGTTCCCCGAGCAGCTCGGATGCTTGGACGATCCTGCAATCCTCGGACGTGTCTTCCAGATGATCGACGACAACCATGATGGGATCCTGGATGAGGAGCGCTTGCTGCAAGAGAACTTATCTTGTCACCACCATCTAGTCAATAGTCGACCAACGAATCAAATAGTTCTAAGTTCCTTGAGGGATGCACAGAATAGTTGCAACGTGGCAAACTAAAGGACGAGTTCGTGAGTGGCATCTACGAGCTTCTGCACCCCACTACCGAAGAGGCCAAGACACTCAGCAATCGCATTGCGAAAGCAGTTCTCCGACCAGTTGATAACGACTTTGGTCATGTCCAGTCCGTCGCCATAATCGGCGCCGGTGTCGCCGGACTGCAGGTGGCCCGAAGGCTCATGGAGATTGGGATCTCTTGCACAATCTTCGAGAAGTCCGAGAATGTCGGGGGCGTTTGGCAGAAGAACTATGCGGACTTCGGCCTTCAAGTTCCCAAAGAGCTTTATGAGTTCCCTGACTTCCCCTACCCTGACGACTTCAAGTGCGACCTCTTCCCCACCGGGCCAGAGGTTCAGTCATACATCGAGCTTTATGCGAAAACCTTCAAGCTCTACGAAGTTACACAATTCAAGACCGTCGTCCTCGAGCTACAGCCGAATCTTTGTCATAGCCGGGCAACATTTTACATGTTGATGGGTACCTAACCCCAATAAGAAATGAACATGTCTAACACTATCCCAAACATGAACTAGGAATGGCGGGAAGCGCGGCTGGACGGTGGTCTTCGAGAAGGGAAAGCAGCGTTCCTACAAAGCCTTCGACTACCTGGTGGTGCCCACCTCGGAGGGTTTAATCTAGGGTTGCTTTAATTCAGATATTGAAGGCCCTCCAATGGGAATTGTGACGCCACCAAAGGCACCTTATAAGGAGTAAATGCAATTTAGGAGCATACCTCTGCTTTATCCCAAAAGTAGAACCCTAAACCTAAACCGTAGAGCACCGAGGTGGCGACTGGAATGTATAGCTGGCCACCGCACATGCCAGTGGCTCGAGGATCCTCGAGGTTCAATGGACAGATCCTTCACTCTTGCAGCTAGGTACTATAGGGGCCTTAAAAATTAGTTCCGAAGCCTTTTCTAATTATTAAGGCCTCTACATTAGTGGTATTGTGTGTTTTCCCTTATTGGGCTTAAAGAGACCTTATTTTTTCAGAGGCTTTCAAGGACCAGCCTAGGCACCTTTACCGATCGCAAGGTTGCCTCGGGCAAGAAGGTTGTCGTCGTGGGGGGTGGGAAGTCTGCAATTGACAATGCGGTCGCTGCCGCCAAGGAAGGCTCCAAGACCACGCTTGTCTGCAGGTCCTGGCACTGGCCAGTGCCACGTTACTTGCTGAACCTGGTCCCTTTCAAGTACGCGACCTACAGCCGCTTCGGACACTGGTTCTTGCATCCTCACCACGAAGAAGGTGCCGCTGCGACATGGCTTCATGGTACGTGTGCTCCGGTGAAGTGGCTGTGGTGGCGTGCTGTGGAGCTCATGTTCCGTGGCCAGTTCCAACTTCCCAGGAGCATAACTCCTGAGGAAGGGATTGAGACAGACCTGTTCAGTGGCGGCCAGATCCTGAACTATGAGTTCAGAGACATGGTCAAGTCCGGGCAAATCCAGACCGTTTGTGGCTCAATCGACAAGTTCACTGAGACAGGTGTCGTACTCGTCGATGGGAGCCAGCTGGATGCAGACCTGGTGATTTATGGCACAGGCTTCGCGAAGAACTATGACGTCTTCGATAAGGTCATCCAGAGTAAGCTGAACATTCAGAAGGATGGCCTCTACCTCTACCGCAACTTAGTAGTCGAGTGGGTAAGCTTTAACCTTTTTAGGTATTACGGGTAGACCACTTCCTAGTTAACCCCAAAGGTTAGCCTTTACTTCCCCTAGGCTAGGATGCGGGACACTTAAGTTGAACCATTGAATGACATGTTGGGCTAATGTGATCGATTTAGGGTTTAGGGTTTAGGGTACCTATTGGGCTTATATGATCCTCTAAACAACTGAAACTGTACCCTGAACCCGAAGCCCTAAACCCTAAACACCCTGAACCCTAAACCCTTTGTTCTCTGCCATGCGAGAGGGAAAAAAGCCTTAAACTAAGGCAACATCATCCCCCCTCGCGTGCCGGATGTGGCCTTCATTGGTTGCGAGGTGGGGATGTCGCTTAATTAGGGTCCCTTATTGAAAAACCCAAAACAAGGCGGCGCCCTTCTCAAAAAGGATTGAAAAGGGAGCCTAATTTAGAGAACTACCCAAATTGAACCCGTATAATTACTACCCTATGGAAACCCTGATAGATCCCTTTAAGGAACCCTGAAAGGGACCCAGAGTTTAGAGAACTACCCAGGTGTCCACCTTCAACAACATCTTGTCGCAAGGGCTCCAGGCCGCTGCCTTATACCCGTTTTTGGGTTTAGGGTTTAGGGGTTTAGGGTTTAGGGTTTAGGGGTTTAGGGCTTAGGGGTTCAGGGCTAATAGGGTGTGTAGGGCATCGGGTTTTGGGATTCTGGGGTTTAGGGTTTAGCGGGCTTAGGGTTTCGGGTTTAGGGCCCCAAAATAGCACGGCAGCCTTATAAAAAGGACCCTATAATAATAACGGACCCAAATTTGAAGAACTATATTGAGTTTAGGTGTCGGACTATTACTTCCTAGTAGGATCCCTGTGTAGTTCCTGTACAACCTTCACTTTGATCCACCCCCCGAGCCCTCTTCTACGAATCGAGGCCACTACACTAAATGAATCCTTGAGCTTACGGTTTAGGGTTTAGGGGTGCCCCTTTGGAAGTACCCTTAGAGCACGCTTCTAGAACCCTTATGCAACCCTTGTGGAAGGCATATTGAACCCCATAAAACCCTGAACCCCAAAAAGCCTACTATAGGGAACTTAACCATTACCTAGAATATTTTGGGGTGCCATTATTACAACTGTGGTGTAACATACCCCACAACCACAGTATAACATACCCTGAAACCCTATTCGAATTATTAAGGCAATTTAAAACCCTAAACCCTTAAACCCTAAACCCCTACACCCTAAAGCCTAAACCCCTAACCCCTACACCCTCAACCCCGAAAAGCCTGCGGCCTGCCCTAAACCCTTAAACCCTAAAACCCTAAACCCCTAACCCCTGACAACCCCTACACCCTGAACCCCGAAAAGCCTACGGCCTGCCCTAAACCCCTAAACCCTAAACCCCTAAACCCTAAACCCCTAAACCCTAAACCCTAAACCCCTAAACCCTAAACCCCTAAACCCTTAAACCCTAAACCCCTAACCCCTACACCACCCTGAACCCTAAAAAGCCTACGGCCTGCCCTAAACCCCTAAACCCTAAACCCTAAACCCCTAAACCCTAAACCCTAAACCCCTAACCCCTACACCCTGAACCCCGCAAAGCCTACGGGCCTGCAGGCCCTTTGGCTTCAGAAGATGCTCTCTGGGCAAATGCAGCTGCCGAAACCAGGCTCGCAGTTCCCAAAGGTCGATGTTTAGGGCTTGGGGGGTTTACCGTTTAGGGTTTGGGGTTTAGGGTTTGGGGTTTGGGGTTTAGGGTTTAGGTTTAGGGGTTTGGGGTTTAGGGGTTTAGGGTGAGGGTTTAGGGTTAAGGGCTTAAGCCCTAAGCCCTCAACCCTTACAGTAGGGACCCTAAACCCTAAACCCTAAAAGCTCTAAGCCCTTACAGTAGGGGTTCAGGTTTAGGGTTTAGGGCTTTGGGTTTTAGGGTTTTGGAGCTCTTTTTGGGGATTGCTTGAAGGGTTCCTAGAAGGGATTGAGGGGCTGGGGTCGATTGGGCCTTGGTGGTCAGCACTTTCGGCTGAAACCCTAAAACCCCAAAACCCTAAGCCCTAAAACCCTAAACCCTAAAGCCCTAAAACCCCTAAACACTAAAACGCTAAAACACTAAAACCCCCAAGCCCTAAACCCCAAAACCCTAGACCCCAAAGCCCTAAACCATATTAAAACTCTAAACCTCGAGTTTGCCCTGAGACTCCCCGGTGCACCAAAAATCCGCTGACCCTCGGGTCGAACTCTTTAAGTGCTGTGTTTAGGGTATTGGGTTGTGGGTTTAGGGGTTTAGGGGTTTAGGGTTGTGGGTTTGGGATTTTGGGTTTTTGGTTTGGAGTTTGGGGTGTCGTTTTTGTTGGCGTAGGGTTTTAGTTTAGAGTATTGGGTTGTGGGGGTTTAGGGTTTTGGATTAGGGCATCGGGTTTAGGGTTTGGGTTTAGGTTTACGGCCTGAGTCCAGAAGCAAAACCGTTTAGGACTTAGGGTTGTGCTGTTGATGGTATAAATCCGGATAATCCTGCAGTACCTTAAGGACCCTCCACTCTGGGAATTATGGCATATTCCCTATTATAAGTCATGCATGATTTATAGCATCAACCGTATTGTTCACTTTGGAGTCCCATGGCAAGCGACCTTCTGGTTTAGGGTTGCAACTCTTCGCGAGTTTTGGGTTTCGGGGCCCTGATCGATTATAGAGGGGACGGTTTAGGGTTTAGGGTAGAGAGCGTAGGGTTTAGGGCAGTGTAGGGGGCTTCTGCGGTAGGCTTGCAGGGTTTCTGAGTTGTAGAAAGGTTCGGTTTAGCTCTTGGCTCTTTACCAGCTTGCACCCCAAACCCTAAACTCTCAAAGCCAACCCCAAGCCCTGAACCCTTTACAGAGCCCCACTCACAGTGCATGAGGTGCACCTAGAAAACAACGAGAAGGAAACAAAGTAGATTGATGGCAAGCACATAAGACTGCGGCGGCCCAACATTCTGAAACCCTGAAACCCTAAACCCAACACCCTGAAACCCTAAACCCGAAGATCGAAAACTATCGCCCGAGACTCCTGAGCCCGCGACCCTCAACCCTCAGGCCCTTACCTTTGAATCCTAAGCCGCGAGTCATGCTTTGGGGGTTTTTCGACCCTAAACCTTAAGGGTTTAAGGTTTAGGGCTTAATCCCCAAATTCTGATCAAACTGGAACCTATAGGCCCTAAAAGGGTTTAGGCTTAGGGTTTAGGGCTTGGGCTTAGGGTTTATAGGGTTTAACTTAACTCAAACTTGGGGTGGTGGCCCAGGAAAAAGAAAACAACAGGACAAGCTCTTTCGAAAAACTCCCACATTTCAAATCTCCGAGCTCTGAACCTTAAACCGTTACTGGAGGGTTTCCGGAGGTTCTACAAGGGTCAATATAGGGGCCTAAATACTTACCTATACTATTTTGGGGCTTCCTTATTATTATTATTATAGTTATAGTATGGTATACCCCAAAACCGCATTCTAATTATTAAAGCCTCGACATTAGTCTAATTGTTGCTATCAGGTTCCATGGAGTTTGTGATCCAGAAGGAGCAAGCTTGGAAGCGCACCTGGATGCCACCAGCAAGTTCGCGCGCAAGCTTGTACCAGCTTCACATGACCAAGTACCTCAGCGGCCAGGGTTTAGGGGGTTTTGAAGGTTTGGTAGTTAGCTGCAGCTAAATCCGTTGAGAGCTCATGTGGTTGTGCTGTGACTGGCTCAGTTTTACTAACACAAATGCTGCCACAAGAGTAGCTGCACCGGTACAGCCGCTGTCAGCAGCCACCCTAAACGCTAAACCTTGGATACTGCACCCACTCAGTAACAGTTGAACAACATTTACTGTATGGTATAGATATACGGCCCTTCATAGGAGCCCCTTTTTGACTGTTACAGCGGCACCCAACCAAAACCTACGGTACCACGACATGCCCCAAACCCTAAACCCTCAAACCCAAGGTACCACGACATGCCCAAAACCCTAAACCCTCAAACGCAAGGTACCACGACATGCTGGTGCAGGACATCGGTGGGCAGCGTTTCCGCAAGATGCCGAACTGCTTCGGGGAGCTCTTCATGCCCTACACGGCTAGGGACTTTGCCAGCCTCTTTCCAAGAGGCTCAAAGTAAAGGCTGCAGTTCTACATGGGTAGTTGTCAAAATTAGGATCCCTCTTGGGGTACCCTAAATAATAGGTGCCGTATTATAATAAGGACCCAAAAAGGGACCATACTTTTGACAACCACCCACATGTTTTCAAGGCCCACGCCATGAAGAGCGTTTTGACTCGTTTCGCATAGACCAGTTTCGCATAGACTCGCCCGACTTTTGGCGCCTGTGCGCTTCGGGGAGATCCAAATTCAGCACATAGCTAAGCACTTTGCGTGCTCTAAAGATGTTTCTGCATTGTTTGAAAAATATTGCAGATGGTTCTGCGTTGTTTGAAAAACACTGTAGACCCCTGATTAACAAGTCCCCCCGGTCACACATGCTAGTTCTTAGGCGCTTGAAGAAAGGGGCTTTGTGAAATCAGGGGTCTGCATTACAGGCCACTACGAGCCTCGTTTCAATTCACTGGGCGGCTCTGCGCACTAGCGGCCTGATCGAATGCCTGTGGTGAGCCGGAGCAAAATGGGTAGTTCTCTAAATTAGGGCCAATTAGGGTCCCTTTTAGGGTCCTTTTTGTAACGGTGCCGTACTATATTCGGGATCTAAAAGGGGACCCTTATTTAGAGAGCTACTCAAATGCAGCTTCGAGTTCTAAAACAAGGGACACCTTTTTCGTCGTATCGAGGGCATACAGGGTCCATGCAACCCTGAATGGTTTGAAAGATATTATGTCTTATGGTACCTCGCTGCAACTACAACTTAATACATCCCCAAACCCTAGTCGAATCACTAGCGCCCAAACTGAGCTCCGGACCAGATCAGCCCGGCAACTGTTGCTGAAAAAAGGTCTGGGCCTCTTCACTTATACATGGGTAGTTGTCAAAATTATGGTCCCTTTTGGGGTACCCTAAATAATAGGTGCCGTATTATAATAAGGACCCAAAAAGGGACCCTAACTTAGAGAACTACCCACATGTGCACATCGTACCGTGCCCGTCAGCGTTGCCAATACTGGCCAAGCAGCAGGAAGGAACAAGAAGGCATCTCGATATTGGGTGAGGATTGGGCTGCGTTTCAGCATGACCTGCGCTTCAGAACGGGTATTGGAACGAAGATGAGCTTCACGTTAAGGGCTTGCCTGCATCTTTTGCGTTGGCCAAAGTGGCCTTCGATGCCCCACTGTAAAGACAGTCCAGATGATGTCCAGCTGCTTTTTGGAGCTGCCGCCCCTTCCGTCGTGCTTGGGGCCAGCGGTGTGGACAAATCGGGAGGTGCCGCCGCAGGAGCAAGGGGGCACATCCGTTTCTTCATGGCACAGGTGTGTTTTTGCGCATCTCACCCATGTCAAGCCTGAGAGGATTGGGGTATGACAGCGGCACAATTCCGCGAGCAACTTCCCCGGCACTAAAGTGGTGTTCATAAGAAATCGAACAAAACGAGATACATCCCACGGCAGCTTGTACACTCCCAGCTCAAGTCGATGGAAGCCTTGAGCTTAAATGCTAGAAGGTCCTTTGGGTTTAGGGTTTAGGGTTTAGGGTTTAGGGTTTAGGGACTTTGTCATTGCCTCGTCAAAGGTTTCTGACTGAATGCCGAGAGACCCAGCTGTGGCGCTGGATAAAGGAGATGCGAGACGTCGTGACATTGTACGACACTTGGCCTTTCAAGCGTGGATGATGTAGTGACTGTGGTGATGCATTGGGCGTTGTCACAAATTTATTTGTCAGTGCTCCCTAAGTTGAAGTGACACAACAGGCCGATGGACTGTTCGGATTGCCATGTAAATTTTCACAGCTGTCTCTCTATGTGGAGTGTGCATGGTTTGGAGCTGAACAGAGGGCGCTGGGATGCATGCCTCGTGCAATCACCTCAGGAACGAATTCCCCGGCAACGTTTAAGACCGCGTAGCCAGCTCCGTTTGTGGGCGATTGTCTGCATCCTTCCCAGGACCTTGTCCAACACCTTGTAAAGCCATGGACTCGTGGCACGGGTTGCGGCATTGCACTGCTGATGAACCACGAAAAGCCGTGCTACTCGGTAGCACCCACGCCGCTGGTGCATACTTACCTGTTTCGCTGGGTGGCCATCGCCTGCCACTGTGGGAACTTTAGCATCTGCAGCTTTCACCTGCTAACTGCCGGTTTTGACAGAGGTCGTGCAAAGTTGATGATCTCCCACACCTGGGCAGCATCTTGACTGCTTTGCAGCAGGGAGTATAACAGGGTCTAGGGTTCAGGGTACAGGTGTCGAAGGCGCAGTGATGTCGAGGCCTGACTAAATTGACAGATATTCCTCAGGGTTATCATGAAATTCATGTTTCAATATCCCCCCAAAACCCTTTTCCAACTATTAAGGCCCCGCTGCCTGCCCAACTCTGAACTCAAGCCCGTCCTTCAGCACAGCTCTGAACATGTCGCTGGCCAGATTTCCAAACTTTGCCCTTTTCAAACGAGGGCCCGTTCAATGGTTCTCCGCGTCCACTGCCCAGAGTGTTCACCATGTCAACCTCTCAGCCGTGTGGACCGCGGTGCTAGAAGAGATGGCATGAGAAAGCCATCGGAACAAACCGGCCATTTGTTTTTGTTTCCTTTCGCTGTTCGTCCATGCAGCTCCTACACCTGTCGGCCGATCAAGCCGTACTGTGTTCGACGACGAGGGCACGGCCACTGATTCGAAATGTGGGGGTTTCCGAAAATAGGGGACCCTAATATAGTACCCTAATTAATAGGATCCCTGTTATAAGGACCCCAAAATAAGGTACCCTAATTTTCGGAAACTCCCATGTCTGGAGAGACTAGGGATGAACGCAGCCACACCTAGAGCCCTCAGGGGCTTTGGGGGCCCTGGCATTGTTGCAATGGGCTTCTTCTGGAGGGAATAGGGTTCAGGGAAAAAGGCAGATTCCAGATTGAGGATTTGGCGGGTCAACCCCTTCTTGCTGTGGGTTAGGAAATAGAGGGGCCTGAATTCTTAGAATAGGGTTTCGGGGCCCATTATACTATAATTATAATAAAGAAGCCCCCAAAATAGTATTGGTAATTATTTAGGCCCTGACATCAGCTCATTTCTCATGCGCCTTGGGCTGCCCATCCGCTGTTGACCGTAGACAAGGAGGACATGGACGAGTGTGAGGAAGCCATTGTCGACTACTGCCTGGAAGCGACTTCCGGGCTCCTCACCAGTATCTGGTTCTGTGGATTTGCCCAATACCAAGCAGGAGATAACCCTAAACCCGACCGAAGCCTAACCCTAAACCCCAGAGCCTAAAAGCCCTAAACCCGACCTAGCCCTAACCATAAACCCCAGAGCCTAAAAGCCCCAAACCCGACCTTACCCAAACCCTAAACCCTAAACCCTAAACCCGAAAGCCCTAACCCTAAATCCCAGAGCCTAAAAGCCATGAGCGTCCCTTTGGCAAGCAGGAGGTGAGCCGGGCGATGTGGGGCCGAGCATAAGTGACTTATAAGCTAAGCAAGTAACATGTCTGTCTTTTTTGGGGGTTTGCTATGTTTATCTTTTGAGTTTTACTATGTTTATCTTTTGGGTTTTACTATGTTTATCTTTTGGGTTTTACTATGTTTATCTTTTGGGGTTTACTATGTTTTTCTTTTGGGGTTTACTGTAGGTAACCCTGGCACAATGAAGCAGGGGAACAACCTGTTTTGGGCTTTGGGAGTTTGTCTAATCCTACCATAGTTGAAATGTTAACCCCTAACCCCAAAACCCTAAACCCTAAACCCTAATTAGCCGCTCAGGTGAACAACTCGAGCTCGATCCCTTCGGATCTGTGATTCGGCACACGACGCCGGCTCTGGGCATGGTGGTGGTTCACACATCGTCTGCCGGAGTCTATGAGCGCCTATGGTGTCCTAGTAGCACTTTATGGTTATCGCCATTCTGACGTCTGTGTGACGAAAGTTCTAGAGAGCGGCCAAGGTGTGTATATGAAATTGCAGAAGCCACGCGTCTCGAATCCACGGCTGCTTCATTGCATTTTTCTGCTTCGCCATAGTTGCTGTGGGGGCCGTCCTGGTGAGATGACTCATCATGACAGGTTTGGGATGTAGGGTTTAGGGTTTAGGGGCTTCCGACAAGAGTTCTGTTCTTCACCGAATCAGGTTGGCTTCGCCTTCTCCGAGCGTTACCTGAATCAGCGCCACACATCTCTAGTGGAGCTTTTGAAAGCTCGTACTGACAGTGCGGTGTGCAGCAATCCTGCCGACACCGCCATGATCCGGTCACGCATTCAGGACTTGGGAGGTGGCATGGTCTGGCCCAAAGAGCTTAATACCCTTTGATTAAGGATTACCTTAAACTATAGGGGGCCTTCATTATGACTTAAGGTATAGCCCTTAATTCAGCGGCATTGGGCTCTCTGAGAGATGCATTGCATTTCATGTTCTGATTCGCTTACAGCAATGGTCAGACTCAGCTGTAATGTAGGAGCCGGGTGCCTATTTTAAGCATAGTATAATAGAATACCCCCAAACTCTATTCTATTCATAGATTAAGCCCCCTATACCCCTAAACCCCAAATAGTATCTTTACAGGAAACCTTTAAAGGAGCCCTATTCAAATCATTCATTACGGCCCCTATGTTACCAGGCTTCCGTGCCCTCGACTGGAAGATCTTCTCCTTTCGCCTGCAATCCCTGCGAGCTGTGCTGGCTAAGAAGGCGGCTTGTGACCAGCATTGCTTGCAGTGTCTACTAGGCTGCACTATGTTATATACATTATGGTGCTTCTAGTTGTGCCTAGTAACCGGCGGCATTGATGTTGAGTTGAAAGCCACACGGCAAAACGGAGTGTAGTCTTTGCATGCTCGACACTGACTGTGGGGCACTGCAGTTTCAGACTTTTAGAAATTGACTCTTCTGAACTCTACTGCCCTAGTCGCTGCATCGCGGATAACGTGCACACCGCTGCCAGCACGTGTGACCCATCTCTACATGACCCAGGCGTATGACAGTCTGCTGGCACCCTGCCTTCCTAACCCCATCCCATCCAATCCAACCCAACGCACCCGGATCCACCCCCGAGCCCACTGCACCTACACGCCACGCGATGCCATGCCCCACGGCCCACAACACATGTCGTCAGCGTCATGATTCATGTGTGGATCTGGCATGTGCAGTTGGATGTGTGACTCTGCGCAAGCCAGATTGGTGTTCGTTCAATGGTTCCCCTTTCGTCCGGTATGTATTGCGCTGCCTGGATCAGGATCCGAACTGGCAAGACATGCTGGCAGAAGAGCTGCAACGTGCTGAAGATGAGCTGAACAATTGGTCTCTTTTCGGACGAGCGAAGATTCCCGGCCGGCTAGTCTCCGAGTTTCCGGGCGGGTGCCGAGTTCCTAGGAATCCACGGCAGATCTTGGCAAAGCCTGAACCCTAAACCCCTTAAAGCCGACTTGGGGCCACATGTGCCGCCCTACCAACCATGGATCAGCCTCGGCTGCATTGCCCAAGTTGCGAGAGCCCAAACCCCTACAGCCGTCGAACTGAGGAGTGAGAAGCCTCTTGATGCTCACACACGAAATCGCATGCTGCTGCTCGTGGGCATGGGCAGCATTTCAGTCACCGGGGCCGCACCCAGACTTTCAACTGCACAGTTCAGCATCATGTCATATCGCGGAGAGAAGTTGGCCGAGAATCAAGCCAAGTTTTTGACACCAAGTCTGCCCCTTGTCGTGAAGTATCAGTTTGCCAACTTGCACGGCTGCGGCTCAGGTTGGGCTGGTGGTATGTGGTGGTGTGGCTGTTGCATCCTTGGTACCAAGCGAGACTACCGAGGAGGGTGAAAGAGTAGCAGCAGACAGTGGCCGTCTGACATTCTAAAGCGAGTGACTGACTGCGGATTGAACTGTCGTCAGGACTACTGGCCTGAGCCAGACGGACTTCTGCCTGCCACAGTTTGTGACTTCACACCAAGATTGTTGTCTGCTACATGTTCAACTCGGACCTTGTGGTTGATCTTGATGTTGAGCGTGTCAGGACCCACCACCACCACCACATGTGGACCTGATGACCGCTGCCGATATTTTTCACCCACGCCTTCACCTCCTCCACCGGCATCCGGGGCCCCGCCGGAGCATAATTGGCCTGCGCCTGCACCGACACCTGCACTCGCACCGGAATGCCGCCGCCGGCGGAGGTTTGCACCTGCACCAGCACCGGCGCCACCACCGCTCCCGCTGACGACGCCCATAGGGCAGCCTGAGTCACTGGGCGGAACGCCAGATCCTTAAGCGGCCGCTTGCGGAGAACTTGAGAGTCTTTCTTCGTGCCTCTTGCAGTACTCAGGAGCCCGAGCATGGCTGCCTGGCAGAAGCCAGTGGTACTTTGCCTGTGACAGCACTTATGACAAAACTGATCAACTTTGCAGCTGTATTGCAAGGTCACTCCATTGCTAGTGACGCTGGTCAGCCTGTCATGGCCTTGGAGTCCCGTCGTGTCATGCCAGCGACAGCTAATGAGCTTGAGGTTATTCCTGGGTGGCGTTTGCTTGCTGCTAGTCTGTGTGCTTGGGATGCGGCGTTGTCGAGCTCCACACAAAGCGCAAGAGAACCCCTTGGAGAGGACCGAATTAACCTTGGTGGAAGCACCGGCATGCACCGCAAGGCACAAGGCCTTTGCTGCCACCAACCTGTCATGGCTGGATAGGAGCCAACCAGACTGGGCAGAGAAGCTCAAGCTCGCGAAGGAGGCAAGTCAGCAGTGCACAGTGTTGTTGCTTGGAGGGCTCCGTCTCCACTCTGACTCTAGGTGTGCTTGTGCGACGATGCACCCGACAGCAGGATGTCTCTCTGAAAAACCATTTTTCCAATTAGCAATTTTCCAAGGGGGGCCAAAAGAAGCTTCCCCTGAAAAAAGGTGGCTTGGTGAATCGCAGCACGAAGCCCGACAGATGCGTATTATTGGCCCATCTTCTTACAGTGTATAGATCGGAAGAAGAGGGACTTTTGACAAGGGCTGGCAGACCTTGGCCCAACAAGGAGAAGGACTCCGCGATGTACAGCTGTCTCATGCAGTTTTGTTATAGGCTCCGGCTTAGTCGCATTTTAAGCATGATCTTTATCCATGCGGTGATAATGCGTGAAGTTGGACGTTTGTATGCTTTGTAAGATTGGACATCAAGCATTAAACAGTCGCTTATGTGTACGGCTTGATACGGCACATTGCAGACGTCCAACGCTCGCGAACATTAGAGCCTGTGCTATGGACAGGCCGGTGCGTTACCCTCAGTGAAAAGGAGTATTTGCGGCAGGTCCCATGGGAAGGCACATGTCTTGAACAAATCTCATGACAGCAGAGGTGGTGTTGGAATCTGGAAGAACATGCGCATCTGCCAGGCTGAGGCGATTTGGGCAGGTGGCAACAGCACAACCCATGGTAAATGCCCCACACATGCACTGCCCACCAGAAGGGCACCCTTGCTTCACACCTTTTTGGGACGTACATCTCGTCAAAGTGTCTGTAGGGTTTTGCAGCGCAGTGCAAAACTTCACAAATATTAGGAGAATGGTATACTTACTTAACATTACTCTGATCGTCAGATCATTTGGCCATCTCTTCTTGCTGTTTCTTTGGAAAGTCGACGAAATCTTTCTATATCAGACTCAATGTTCGTGTTATAGTGCTGCTTGTAGCCAGAAAACATGGCCTGATTTTTCTGCTTCCCCTCAGCAACACTCCAGCTCCAAGCATCAAGCTGAGCATCGATGGGTCGACGTATGAAGTATGTTCCAGAGTCATCGGCAAAAGCTAGTTGTGTCCTGAGCGATCCTAGATTCAGTCCCATTATTATTCTGGATATATCGAGCTATTCTGCATTTGCTGAAGATTGATATCGGTAGGGCATCACAACCACACAACTATAGATGTTCCAAATCGGACGCGAAAATCAGGATAGTAACAGATATGTTCGTTCAAGGCCATAGTAAGAAGAATTAATTTCATGTTGGATAATTGGTATACACTTTACATTTCAGATACTTTAAAATCTTGATATTTAATTCTTAGATCTAATGAACCTTTAATATTCTTCAAAATGAATGCAAGACTATGTGATATAAGCGATGAGTTCTTTATAAATGATATTTCGTTATTTTTCGCATTTATTTTTGGAGAATAGTGGTTTTCTAGGACATTTATTGATTTTTTGATATATTGAAAGTCTAAAACTATTTCTATTTCAATAATGATACCTTTAGATTTATAGCATGTTTCTTCTGTTTATTCTATGAGTTAACTCGATAAAACTTACTCTATAGAATGGTGCGCGCTTCCTCTGGTTTCGGATTTGCGCATGATGGCTGCCGGTACGAGACCACGAAAATTTCGGAATTTTGGGATTGTTGGTATGCCTGCGGCTGTCTGCCTTTAAATTAAAGGCGAGTCCTTCGTACGACACCTAGAATTTCCTGGGATTTGAGGGTTTGTACTGGACGCGCTGTGAGGTACTAAACCCCCAAAACCCTGAATATTTCGGGGTGTCGTGCCGAACGAAACTCTGGAAATTCCGAGGAAAGTATGGTATCGTACCGCACAATTCCAGGGAAATGCAGTGTTTCGTATCACGACATGTTCGGTAAATTGTGTTCTGTATTTTAGCTCTCACTTCATTATGCCGCTTCGACAAACATTGGATTTACAGTGAATGATTGGATACTTGGTACATGCCATGCATGCCGTGTGTAATGTACTCTAGCATGGTATGAGGTACCTCACTATCGCACTACCAGGCCTCGCAGCTACAGACCCGAACGTGGAAATCCTAGTTGTGGGGAGTGTCGCGGAGTGGAGGGCGGAGTGGCGGGCGAGGGCGTGTGTCTCGTGGGGAGTGTCGCGAAGTAGCAGGCGAGGGCGTGAGTATCGTGGAGCGGCGGGCGAGAGCGGGTCGGGGGGGAGAGTCGTGTGGTGGGGCGAGGGCATGTGTGTCGTGCGAGTTTGAGCAGAGTGTCGCGGAGTTGCGGGCGTGTCGGGAAGCGATTCGAGGTGAGTGTCGCGGAGTGAAGTCATACAATCCACAATACAGAGGGCAGAATGCTGCGGAGATTACCTTGCCTTACTGCCGGAAAGTTTCTACCTGGCACATCGCTACTGATCACACCACGCCAGAGTTTATGCGCATCCTTCGTCTTCGACTACAAGCTTTAGTCGGTCCCGAACTGGGCGAGGGTGTCGATGGGAGTATCACGAAGTGGCGGGTGAGGGCGGGTCGAGGGGAGTGGAGGGCGAGGGTGGGGGAGGGCGTGTAGGTCGTGGAGGGACGGATCGGGTGTGAGGGAAGTGTATCGGGGAATGATTCGAAATCGTGGCGTGTAGAGAGAATGGATTATTAGGATAGGTAGGGCGTATAAATAAGATTGAAATTGAAAAATTATGTATTCTATAAGATAAATAAATTATTATTTCTTCATCTCTCGGTCGTAATATTATTGAAAATAAATAAAAATTCTTCTGATAGAATTTAATGGCGATTTCTCTGAATATATATATAATTTAAATCTTTAATTATCGAGTCGATATAGATATCTAAAAAAATAATAATAAAATAAATTGAATGAGATTTTCTGCTTATTAGATATAATTGAATTTTCTTTAATATTAATAATGAAATCTTGGAATTAGTTTGAAATATTATTCCCCGGAAATTTATTATTAAAATTTATTGATTATATAAGTTCGAAGAGCTCTTAAAAAATATTAGGTTTAATTAATTTCATAAAATAAAATTTCAGATTTTGAATAATATAATTCATTATAAATCCTT